CAGACTTTGTTAAATAAGAAACAACACCTCTGCCCAGTGCTGCTTGAATAAGTGGAGGTAGGTAGGCTACATAAACAGTTTGCAAACATTTTTTTGCTAATGAAACCCTTTCTTCCAATGTATTCTGACAGAATTCCCTGTAAAAGAAACGAAAGCAGTTTGCTGGATTTATTCTTTCAGCAAGAATTCAGTGAGTTGTTTACCCTATGATAGGCACCAAGGATACAATCATTGACTTTTGGTTAAAGAGAACTGAATGAATATTTCCCCTGATCCCTTTCCAAAGAAAAATGACAAACACCATGCAACTGGTTCAGCACACAGTATTAGTAAATATTGCTAGCCCTCTGACATTTTTGGCCTTCACTTTTGGCCCCAGACTCAGATAAGATGGAAGGTTAACTCGGGTACAATAAAGAAGTGTTCAGGTTCAAATTATCATTGGTTTCAAATGATCCATTATCCTCCTGGAAGGCAGCACTGACAGAAGCTACAGATACACCTCTGACCTGAGCTTTAGTGCTGGCTTTACCTCAACCACATACTGTGCAACCAAAAAAAGTCAGCAGGAGTTGACCAAAAAAAACAGACCAACCATCCCTGGGAGGTCTGAGCCAGTGCCTAATGAAAGGTATAATACTGTGACAGGAATTGATTTCTCCCACTCGGAGACTGGTCATTCAGCATGAGTTCAAGGCACACATCCTTAAGAGGAGATACTCTTTGCTGCAGGCCTCCTTAGCTGGATTACGCTTCAGTTCCAAGCTTTCAACAGTATGTGACTGGTTCATGCTCCAGGACTGGAAGGAGTTATAATTTGAAGCCAGAATGAATGGCCACAATGCCTGATGTTAGACTTTCATATGTCACCTTCTGAAAACCTGCATCTTCTATCATCTCCTTGAATTCCTCCTAAAACACAAAGATACAGCAAGGATTGTCTGCAATCCAACTTTAGGGGTTTTGTTATAAACTATAGAAGGTATATATACCTGAGATGGGAACTTTCGGATACTTTCTACAAGGTACTGATAGGACTTCCAGTCTCCTGCAATGACCTCTCCCAGGACAGGAATGACCTGGAAGCTATACAGATCATAAAGCCTAAACAAAAAAGCAAGAGATGAAAATCAGAACATGCCTCGGTTTTGATTTCTTCCATAGAGAAGGAAGGTCTAGGCTTGAGGTCACAAATTCAAATGGCTACGGGGGCCAACCAAAAACCTGAAATAAGTGAAGTGGATCAGGTGTAAGGGGAGCCGTGAACAGTAGTTAGGAAGGCCCATGAAAATGGAGAAGGGGCAGTTACCACTCAGTTCTCCGACTATTGCCATGTGGAACGGGAGCCTACACAGGCAGGGTTGCCATACAGTCTGCTTTCTCAAGTGGAGCTGGAAATACAGATTTTTATGTAAAATTCCCTGGAAATTCTATTTTAAAAAATAGAATGAGTCCACCAAAATACGTATGTGGGCCAAGGTTATTGGATTGTGTCTCCTCAGGTCTAGGTACTGTCTGTCATTCATTAACTGGCTGACCTCTGAGGTGGCACCATCCCTTGGGGAACTGGGGCATGAGGTGGGAGAGCACAAAGTTTTTCCACTTTCTAGTCATTCTATCCATTTGAGAAACCCTTGGAAAACCCTAGTAACGATTCCAACCTGGATACAAGGGGATTGTTCACTTGGCTAAACTCCAGGCAGAGAAACCGTCCTCCTGGTTTCAGGACCCGATGGGCTTCCTGGAGTGCCTGAGCAAGACAAGGAATGACAGGATATACTTTTTAGGAAACCTCACCCAATTTCATGAAGCTGAGACATCGTTAGCATCAGTGAGCGTTGTAAAAGTTAGCATTTGCCACAGACCCTTTCTTTACCTTTCCCCTTGTAAAGAGCAGAAACAGCCCTGTTGCTGTGTCCTGTTGCTTCCGAATCATGATGACCCCATGTGTTTCAGAGCAGAACTGCCCCGGAGGGTTTTCTTGGCTGTAATCTTAGTTCCGGAGGCAGATTGCAGGGTCTTTGTCCTGCAGACCCACTTGGTGGGTTTGTACCACCAACCTTTTGGTTAGCAGTTAAGTATTTAACTGTTGCACCACTAGGGCTCCTGAGAAATACCAAAAGACAAAACCCATGCTATTAAGTCAATTCTGACTCACAGCAACGCTGCAGGACAAAGTAGAACTGCCCCATAGAGTTTCCAAGGCTGTAAATCCTTATGGAAGCAGACTGTAACATCTTTCTTCCATGGAGCAGCTGGTGGTTTCAACTGCCGACCTTTCACTTAACAGCTCAATGCTTTAACCACTGTACCAATAGAATGCCTCCCTTAGAAACAGCCCTACTCCTAGCTGTGCGTCAGATCTGGAATTGAACCCACATCTGTGGCTTCCAGCCAAGCAAAAGACAGGAATATGAAGTGAACATTTACCTGAGGCAGATACACTCCTTGGAGAGAACAATCATGGGAGAAAGAAGGGCTGCTTATGCACCGGGAGACAGCTCAGGGGGCAGGAGGGCATGGAGGGATGGACACAGGAAAGAGGTAATTACTGGGAGGAAGTGGGAGGGGAGCTGTTGCATTGTGGTAAATTGTGGTCAATGTCATGAGACAAAGTGTGTGTGAACTGCTGTGTGGAAAGTGAATTTGCTCTGTAAATCTTCACCCAAATCACAATTAAAAAAAGAAAGAAAGAAAGAAAGAAAGAAACAGCCCTACCATATTCTAAGTTCTAAACATTCTGTTGCTTGAGACCAGATAGAAAGGGTTACCTGGGGTAATCTAAACCGAGTACAGACTGGTGCAGCCTTCAAGGAAGGCAATTACAGAATTACCTATCAAACTTATAATGGATATCCTCTTCCATTTAGCAGTTCCCCTTCTAGAAGGTGTCTGACAGAAATGCTTCTACTGGGGAATGACATGTACATGGGTTGCAGCACTGTTCGAACAGCACAAGATCAGAAGCCTCTTAAAAACCATTAACAAGAGACTAATTAAATTATGGAATATCTACACCAACAGAATCTATGTGGCTATTAAAAACAGGAGGCGGTGCTCTTTTTAATTAAATAATAAGCTGACTAGAGACACAGTACAGGTCATAAAAATCAAACTGGAGAACAACATAATGACCCACCAGAAGCAGAGAAAGCAGGGGACTGGCACCTCCATAACAGAAACGAACTGGGCGCCTTGTACATGGTCTCCCATTGTTTTGAACAGAACGTTAAAGTGAAAATAAAGACAAAGTGCATCAAATAATGGAGTCCTGGTGGTGCAGTGGTTATGCGCTTAATCACACAAGTGCTTATGAAGGGTCAACAGTTCGAACCCACCAGCCGCTCCAAGGGAGAAAGATGTGGCAGTTTGCTTCTGTAAAGATTACAGTACTGGAAGTCCTGTGGGGCAGTCCTGCTCTGTCATGTAGGGTCACTGTGAGTTGGAATCAACTTGCCAGCGACATTCCCTTTATAGAGGAACCATGACTGTAACTACTTTTTGCCAAAAAAGGTTTGATGCCTTTTTCTGGGTCACGTAACTCCAACCTCTGACATGTCTCTGATCTGCAACTCACAGTGTCCGATAGTTTCTTAAGTGAGAGGAAACAGACAAAATGTCAGAGCAAAAGTAATGGTCTCAAACATGTAAATACCATCCCAAGAAACCAAGGCTTCCGTGGGATCTGCTCTGCAGGAGTTTTTTTTTTTTTTTTAGGTTTTGGTCTATTTTCTATTTTTTGACTAGGAAAAGTAGTAACCTAAAGAATTGGGGCTCTGTGGTGGTGAAGTTTGTGTGTCAACTTGGCTGGGCCTGGTTGAGTGGCTGGGCAGCTGGATGTATTAGTCCCCATGATGAGATAGGTAATCAACTCCATGGTGGAATCTGTTGTGAGCAGCTGAGTAGCTGCCTTAGGCACAGATGTGGTCTGCTTCCTGTATGTAAGCAGAAGTCTTGGGGAATGGTCTCTAGCTGATGGCATGCTTGGACCCTGCACGTAGCCATGTCATTGTTCAGCAGCCTGCCATGCTCTGCTAACCTTGGGACTTACAATGAATTTGAATTAATGGCCTGCCGTGTGGTTTGGTAACATCGGGGCTGTGCCTGTTACTTGTCAACCTTGGGGCTTCTCAGCCTCAGCAGCCAGCAGCTGAGTGAAGAAACGCTTCTAGCTCCAGTGGGATGGGAGCAGGAGGCCCAGCTGGACCCCAAGGTTAAGGGGCTTTTACCCAGCCCCTAGAGCCTGACACTTTGAAATCGGACTTAAAGCCTCCAAACTAAGAGAATAAACTCCTGTTTGTTAAGGCCATCCCATTTGTGGCATACTTTTGTCAGAGCGGCACTAGGGAACCAGAACAGGCTCCAGAGGCCGTTCTACTCAAGAGCTAGGCCTGGAGAAGAACCTCTCCCTCTTTCTTCATTCACTGTGGATCCACTCCAGAGAACTAATATCCTGAGAGGCACACAAGCCAAGGATGCAGCATTCATACCCGATCAATGTGGGTCACATTCCGGATCCCAAAGGCAATGGTGTAAACATCAAACTTGTCATCGTCAAAGGGCAGTTCTTCAGCATCTCCCAATACCCAAGCAAGTCCTGAAAGAGAGAATCTGGGTCAGGGTGACTGTGTCCTCTGCACCCAAACACCTCAGAATCCTGCCTTCTCCACTGAATTTCTGGCCACTGTCTTCACAGCACCCTCCAATCCTGAGAACCGGGCGTTCCTGAAGCCTATTAGGATCTGAGTCCTTCCCCCAGGGTTCCTGGAGTAGATCTGATTCTTACTTAGTCATGTCTACCCACAAGCCTTCAGATGGATTTTTTATCCAACTAAGTGAGTGTTGTTTGTAGGCCACTGTGGTTAAGGCTCAGGTTCTGGGCTGAGAGTGTCCAAATTCGAATTCCAGCTTCACCATTTGTTGTTGTTAGGTTCTGTTGAGTTGACTCATGTTGTTGTTGTTGTTGTTATGTGCCCTGGAGTCGGACCTGACTCATAGCGACCCCTCCTTGGGTTTCCGAAGCAGTATCACTATGGAAGTAGATTGCCCCATCTTCCTTCCGAGGAGTGGCTGGTGGGTTTGAACCGCCAGCCTTCTGGTTAGCAGTCAAGTGCCTTGGGCACTATGCTACCAGAGCTTCTGAGTCGACTCATAGTGACCCTATACACAACAGAACGAAACACTGCCGGGTCCTGCGCCATCCTCACAGTCGCTGCTATCTTTGAGCCCACTGTTGTAGCCACTGTGTCTCTCTGTGTGTGGCTCAGTGTCTAGCACCTACTTCATAGGATTTGGGGAAGGGCTAAGTACAGTGGTAACACAAACAAAACGAAACCCCCTGCTGCCAAGCTGATTCCAATGTATGGCAACCTCACAGGTTCTCAGTGACTATAATCTTGCACAAGTAGATTGCCAAGAGAAGTGTGGTTAGCATCATTATATTGGGTCTATTGGACTCAGAATCAAAGTGTCTAGAATGCAGGTCTTGGTCCTGAATTTAGAAAACACCCAAGAATACCTCCTATCAGATCTCAGTGTCCTGTAAGGATTTTGATTCTGCTTTCACATTATTAACCAGCAGCAAATCAGACATAAGATATAACAGGAAGGTTTTAAAGAAGGTAAATGTAAATATTCTTTCTGGAAAGCAAATTGGAAGTATGCTTACAAATAAGAGCCTTAATGATTCCTTAAAAAGCTAGAATTAGAAATACCACTTGACTCAGCAATCTCATTACTAGGTATATATCCCAAAGAAGTGAGGGCCGGGACAAGGACAGATACATGCACACCCATGTTCATCACAGCAATGTTTACAATAGCAAAGAGATGGAAACAACCTATGCGCCCATCAACAGAAGAATGGATAACCAAACTATGGTACATACACACAATGGAATACTATGCAACACTAAAGAATAATGTAGAATCTGCCAAACACCACATAATGTGGATGAACTTGGAGGAGATTATGCTGAGTGAAATAAGTAAATCACAGAAGGACAAATATAGTATTAGTTCATTATCGTAAAAAGTCAAGGAAAGGTTTATATATGGAAGGAAAACTTTCTTTGTTGGGGGGGAGGGAACATTGCAAAAAAAAATGCATAGACCCATGTCACTTTAGTTTTGTGTATTTCACTGTACATAAATTATATTTCAATAAAAAATATTAAAAAAAAAAAAAAAAAGAACAAGAGCCTTAAAAGTAAGCACACCCTTTGACCCAGCTATTTCATTTTTAGGACACTGACCATTACCATCATCATTACTACTGATATCAGTGCTACCAATACTACGTGGCAGGGTCTGTGCTATCACTTTCTATAACCTTTACATGTATCACTTAATCCCATCCTCACACCAACTCTATGAGACAGTTATTATTATGATCCTCATGTTTTGGATACACTAAGTATCAGAAAGGTTAAAGTAGCTTGCCCAAGTTCACACAGATGAAAGGAACTCAGGTAGTTTTATCCCAGAACCTGTATTTTTACCAACCATAGTATATTGTTCCCTACTATGATATGGTTATTCTCTTCCACATTTTATAGATAAGGCAAACTGAGACTTAAGAGAGTTTAAATACTTATCCTAGGTCATACACTTAGTTAAAAAAAAAAAAAAATTAATAGATGCATGCAAAAATTTACAAATAAGGATGTCACAATATTGTTCTGTATGTAAAAACATTAGAAAAAGATGAAAAATCAACTACTTGTTGGTTATATGAATTGGTCATGTGAATTATGAAACATGGGAAACAGAATAAAAAATAATTACATAAAGGAATTTTTTTATGACATGGAAAAATCTCATACAAAGCACGTTACTAAATTTTATGAACAGAATCTACTCAGTTCTGTTAAAAGATTAGGGAAAGGACTGAAGAAAATGCATTAAATATTAAGGAAAGGCATCTCAATGTTGGGATTATGGGTGACTTTTTGAAAAAAGACAGTGTTTTGAAGGTCAAAGTTTACAGCGCAAATTAGGTTCACATTTAACAATTTTTACACACATTGTTCTGTGACGTTGGCTACAATTTTCAAAATGTGTCAGCATTCTCATTATTTCCATTCTGTTTGTTCTGTTTCCTTTGACCTAGCTCCCTTGCCCCTCCCTGCCTTCTCATCTTTGCTTGTGCATAAATGTTGACTGTTTGGTCTCACACAGTTGATTGTTTAAGGGAGTGCATTCCTCATGGATAATACTGTTTGTTTTTTTTATAAGCCAATCTATTGTTTGGCTGAATGGTGAGTGACCTCTGAGAGTGGCTTCGGTTCCATCCTCAAAAGGTAGCTGAGGGCAATAGTCTCAGGGGTTCCTCTAGTCTCTATGGGTCCAACAAGTCTGGCCCTTTTTAGGATTTTGAATTTTGTTCTGCATTCTTCTTCCTTTCTATCTGAGACTTTCCATTGTATCCCTGATCAGAAATGCCAGCAGCAGTAGCTGGTCACTGTCTAGTTTTGGTCTCCGGCTAGAAAAGGCCATGGTTCGTATAGGCTGTCAGTCCTGTGAACTAGTCTCTTCTCTGAATTATCTAGTTATCTTAATTATCTAGTGCTGCTATAATAGAAATGCCACAAGTGGGTGGCTTTAAAAGACAGTTTATTTTCTTACAGTTTAGGAGGCTAGAAGTCTGAGCTCAGGGCAATGGCTCTAGCCGAAGGCTTTCCCTCGCTGTTGGCTCTGGAGTAAGGTCCTTGTCTCTTCAGCTTGTTTCTCGGTTCCTTGGGTATCCTTCCCCCATCTCTTCTTCTTTCACTTGCTTATTTAATCTCTTCCATATCTCAGAAGAGACTGACTCAAGATACACCCTACACTAATCCTGTCTCCTGAACACAACAAAGACAACCCCTTCCCAAATGGGATTACAAGTACAGGAATAGAGGGTGGGATTGACAATGCACAGTTTTGGGGACACAATTCAGTCTGGAAGTTTCTTTCATTTTCTTTTGCTCTAGGCCAGTGGAGACTAACAGTTGCATCTGAGATGGCTGGTCACAAGCTTTTGAAGACCCCAGACACTACTCACCAAAGTAGGATGTAAAACATTATGATCTATGTTATACCCATTGACTGAGCTGTCCTATGAGACTATGGCCCTAAACCTTTTAACCCAGTAAAGCTATCCTGTATATGGATATGTGGAAGAAGTCTCTACAACTGGGCCCCCATGTGCTTTACTATATATGTGAAGACTTTTACCTTCTTACTACTTTTCCAAAATTTTGGTTTTCTAAAGTATTTCTCTCAACTACATCACTTTCATAATCCTTCAAGCGCTCTTTTTTGCAGGTCCTGCCTTCCGTCTGGAGAGGAATCACATACCTAACAGTGCTACACACCCATGCCTTTACACACCAGCTTATACATTTTTAAAATAATTTCTAGGATCCTCTTACATAGTTTCAGCATTTTTGTTTTTTGTTTGAAAAGGCAGTTATTAGAGGTTGATAAGCAAAGGGGAAAGATAAAGAAAACTGCACTCTGCAACACTTAGAATTCCTATGCGGGGAGATGGGTCTCGGCAGTTAGGAGCGCTTGAAGGGCAAGCCATGCTGAGAAGTGACGATTCCAGAAACAGAACGTCACTTATCATTTTAGCACCTTTGCTCTCCATTCCTTATGGCTGGGCACCAGTGAGAAGGGAAGCATGTTTCTGCAGCAGGAATAAGGAGACACAGTGCCTTTGTCTCCAAACACTAGACTGTCTGCCTCCTCATTGGTGCTGAAGGCTAACAAATGAGTCCTTCATCTTGGGGGCCAAGCAGGCTGTGGCTCGTCTAGGCAGCTGCTTCTTGGGGTGGGAAGAGGAGGAGAAGGAAGAACTGAGCTAAAATAACCATACACACTCATGGGTGGGGAGGGAGAAGGAAACATGCTGACGCTGACCCTGACACGAGGGACTTGTTTTCCTTGTAAAGCATTGCTCTACAAGGGGCTTAGGGAGCTCTGGTAGCGTAGTGCCTAAGGCACTTGACTGCTAACCAGAAGGCTGGCAGTTCAAACCCACCAGCCACTCCTCAGAAGGAAGATGGGGCAATCTACTTCCGTAGTGATACTGCCTCGGAAACCCAAGGAGGGGTCGCCATGAGTCAGGTCCAATTCGACGGCACATTACAACAACAACAACAAAAAGAGGCTTGGCAAGCTTGGAAGAGGGCAAGTGTGATAGTTGGAGCTGTGTGTCAACTTGGCTGGACCACAATGCTGTGTGGTTTAAGCTGATGTGATGTGGTTATTCCCATGGTGCGATCAGATGATTATGTTTTGAGCAGGCAATCTGGTGAAAGGGAGTTTCCCTAGGGGTGTAGCCTGCTTCCAGTATATCCAAGGACGTCCTGGGAAAAGAAACATTCTTCTGTGGATCAGGATTCTGTTGTGCTGCCTACAACTGTCCATGAGTGAACAGTCCACCATTCGGCCTGAAGATCTTGGATTCGTCATTCGTTGGAGTCAACAGCCAGTGTACTGCCTGCCAGCCTTGAGCTTCTCAGTCCCTGCAGTTGCAAGAGTTGGGAAAAGCCTCCAGCTTGACGTTTGATCCAAGAACTTTGGACTTGCCAGCTTCTATAAGTGTGTGAGCCATTTTCCTAAGATAAATTTCTCTATATACATACATATATATATATATAACCTTTAACTGGTTTTTGTTTCTCTAAAGAACCCAGTCTACCTGCGGTGTAGTAAATTACTTAGTGTGGCTTTTCTACCCTTAAGTCTTTGTAAACTCCAAGGTGGGATTTTGTATGAGCAACTGAGCAGCCCCTGATTGCTGAAGCTATCCACCTGGGTTATTTCTGTTGGGAGTGGCACAATACAATGTTCTGGGAGGTGCCCACTCTCTCTCACGTGCTTAGAGTTCTGATGCTGTGATTGGCTAGTTTGACCACCCTTCCGGGCTCAAAGGAGGCGTCCTGAAGGCAGAACTCTCTCTGACTGCTGGTGGAGGAAGACGTGCTGCCGAAAGAGACACGCACCCCTGAAAGAGACACGTGCTGCTGGGAAAGAGCCGCAAGAGACACGCATCGCTGAGTGAGACACCGAGGGACCGGCACTGCTGGGAAAGAGGCTGTGAGAGACTCTTGGCTGAGGGACGGTGGGCTGGGAGAGAGACTGAGCATTCTTCCTGGACTTGAGTTGTAGCCTGGTGCTTCCCTAATAAACCCCATAATCTGTGAGTTCTGTGTGGCCACTGCAGTGAATTATCGAACCCAGGAGAGAGGTGGTGGGTGCTTTGGGAGGAACGATTGGTGAAAGGGCTGGAGGGAGGCAGCATGTTTGGTCTTGCAGTAATAGGCCTTGGGTTACTGCTGGTAATCCTGCCTTCCCCTTGTAGGGTTAGAGAAGGTCAGAACATGTGGCCTCCTTGTCGTTTTTGCACTACCACAGCAAGGCTCTGAAAAGTGGGGGAAAGAAACATGGCGCAGCTTCCCTGATCATTCATTTTACTTGAAAAAATTTAAGAGGAAAGTAAATATGAAAACAAACAGAAGGTCAAATGAAAAAATTACATTTTTAAGATCGAGCACAAATCATCGGTCCCATTTTGAGCTTGCAGTGGGTTCTCAGAGGTAGGTGTGTAGCCACCCTCCCGCTGCTATGGAAAGTACTTTGAGGGAAGTTTGAGGAGTACTGTTTACTGGTATTTCCTCAATTGCATCAGGTGGGTCCGCTGAGAAGCAGATGCTGAGCTGGAGGCAGCACTGCAACAGGCTTTTTGGGATTGTATGAGTCCGTGGACATTTCTGAATATCTAGAAGAGTCAAGTATACACAGACCAACGTTCATCAGTGGTTACCAGGGTCAGGCAGGATGGAGGGGGAAGAGGGACCCCCTGCTTAGGTAACACTGAGCTTTTGCTGCAGGCGATGGGAATGTTTGGAAACAAAAGTGGTGGTTGCACAATATTATAAACGCAATTAATGTCACTGAACTGTCCATGTGAAGAATGCTGCCATGGACAACGTTTTGTTATGTATTTATCACAATAAAAACAAGAGTTTTTTTTTTTTTTTCTGAGCAACACCAAGGAAAGATAAAAACCAGAAGAAGCAAGACTGGGCAGGGAAAGCCTGTAGACCACCACACAGATCTCACAGTGTCAGCCTACTTATCAGGGAGCTAAGGAGCCCTGAGTAGGACAAAAGGTGAAGTGCTAGCCCCAAAAGTGTGGTGGTTTGAACCCCCCAGGCGCTTGGCAATCTGCTTTCAGAAGGTCACAGCCATGAAAACCCTTGTAGCACAGGTCTATGTTGAAACACGCGGGGTCACCGGCAGTTGGAATTGATTCAAGGGCAACTGTTTGTTTTGTTTTTTGAGCAAGGACTGCCTATTAGAGTCCCAGGCAGAAAACGTCCAGGCCCAGACCCTGGCAGCCCCCAGGGCACAGAGCCTGCCCTTGGCTTGCCAACAAGTCCTTTCTTTAGGAGATCTTAGCAGTGCACCTGCTCAGTTTCCACATCAATCAAATGATCCTAGCTCTGATGAGGGATGGAATGGCCCCAGAACAGGAATGATACGATGGACTCGTCTGGGACCTGTTAGGAACTGAAAGCAAAACTTGTGTCTTGGGGCCCAAGAGGTGAGAACAGAAGATTCGGTTCAAGTTCAGGATCTGCCATTTAAAAGCTGTGTGACTTGAGTGAGACACTTCACATCTTTGGGCTTTGGTGGTCTCCCTCAGTACATGGTGCTCATAATCTAATTCACAGAGGTACTGAAATAATGTATATGACAGCACACAAAATGAATTCTGCCACACAAATCACCTTCAATTCCTGCCCAGAAGATTCAGAAAGCTGGAAAAGAAAGTGTTTCAACATTCCTTATGCATTCTGTCTTATTCTGTAAGCACACAAACCGTCCTGTGTTGACTTTCTGAAGGACTTACCAGCTTTGTATCCTCGAGTGTGGGCTTTCTTCTTTCCAACTTTGAGCATCTCCTTGTTGATGTCACAGACCATGACATAGGAACCACCCAAAGAGTCCTCTTTCTTCTGGTACTTTTTGGCAATTTCTTCCCAGGATAAATTTTGTTGGGCTCTTAACTGCCTCTTCTGCTTCCTCTGATGCTGAGCCTGGACATAGTTAAGGAACCGAAATGCAATATCACCTGTGGGGAGCCAACAGCAGGAAAGATTCAAAAACAGAAACCATGAAACAGCATATCCTAAATGTCAAAGCAGCCACAAAGGCGAAGTAGTTGATGACTGTGTGAATATGGAAGTTTCTACTCAATGGTAACTTTTTATTTTTGCTGTAGCTAATTTAAAATTAATAAATAAGTTACTGTGTTTTGGGTGAAGGTTTACATGGGAAACTTGGTCCTCTCTGGCAATCTGTACACGCTGTTCAATGACACTAGTTACATTTTCACAAGTGACATATTCTCTGTGTTCTCTCTGCTCCCCTTCCACGCTCTAGCTCCCCTGCCCCTTTGGTCTCAGACAGATGTGGTTTTTTGCTGTTGTTGTTTTGTTTTTTAAATTGTGATTTGGGTGAAAGTTTAGAGAGCAAATTCCTTTTCCATGCAACAGTTCATACACATTTTGTTTCAAGACACTGACTGCAATCCCCACAATGTAACAGCTCTCTTCCCATTTCCTCCCTGTGGTTACCTTTTCCTTCCCAGTGTCCTTCTTTCCTATGCATTCCTGCCCCGAGCTGTCTCCCTGCGCAAATGCCACCCTTCTGTTCTCCCGTGGTTGATTGTTCTGAGTGTACCCAGCTGCTATAAATGTTCACCTTCTATGCCTGACTGGAAGCCATGGGAGTGAGTGCAGTTCCAGGCCCAAAGGGTAACTAGAGGCCATAGTCTTGGGGGGTTTCATCAGTCTCTAACAGACCAGTAAGCCTGCTCTTTTTTATGATTTTGAGTTCGTTCCACATTTTTCTCCCACTCTATCCAGGATCTTATAGATGTTTTTTAATGAAGCATCATATTCATGGGTACTGTCCTTTATTTTAGGAGGAGCTCTGATGGCTTAGTGCCTAAGGCATTTACTGCTAACCAGAATGCTGCAGTTCAAACCCACCAGCCACTTCTCGGAAGGAAGACTGGGCAATCTACTTCCATAGAGATACCACCTTGGAAACCCAAGGAGGGATCACTATGAGTTGAATCAACTCGACAGCAGTGAGGTTTATTATTTTTCTTCCCATCCTTTATTTTGTGTGACAATGTGTTATTTTACTAAAAGGTAACCTGAGTGCAGAAGAGTATGAAGGGATGGACACTGGGAGGAGGTAACTATGGGGAGGAAGTGGGAGGGGAGCTGCTGCATTGTAAATTTTGGTCAATGACATGAGACAAAGTATATGTGAACTGCTGTATGAAAAGTGAATTTACTCTGTAAATCTTCACCCAAATCCTAATTAAAAAAAAAAAAAAGTAAAAGGTAACCTGAGGAGATAGTTTTGATTTAAAGTTTAAAGATTATCTCAGGGGACAGTCTTAGGGAGTCCTCCAGTCTCCACTAGTCTAGTAAGTCTGGACTCTGTAGGAATTTGAGTTCTGTGTTTCTCCCATTCTATCGGGGTCCATCTGTTGTGGCCCTGGTCAGAGGGGTCAGGAGTAGTGGGCACCATCTAGTTCTTCTGGTCTCAGGGGAGATGAGGATGTGGTTCATGTAGAATGTCAGCCCTGTCGACTAGTTTCTTCTCTGAGACTTTGGTTTCCTTTTTTCTCTTTTGATCCCAACAAGCAGAGACCAACAGTTGTATCTTAGATAACTGCTTGCAAGCTTTTAAAACTCCAGTGATACCTCACTAAGATGCAGAATGTGAACTTTGTGATGCCAACTGACTTAGGTGTCCCCTGAAAACTTTTTTTTAACAGTAACTTTTTAACTTCTAAAATTCTTATAAAACCTTTTTGGAAAAGTGGGTAAGTTATATATAGATATATTCTCACTAAAAAAGTTTCAATACCTAAATATATGGAATAAAACATCAAAGTCTCATTTCCTCTCCTTATCCTTTCCAGACATGACAAGTGTCTTTAGTGTATAGCCTTCCAGTCTTTTTAATTTTCATAAACTTAACATCTGTGTATAGTTTACAAGCAACAAGTCCCTGCCCACACCTTCCCACTCCCAGTTCAGTTCCCCAGAGACCATCTCTTCTAACTCATTTAGCTGTTTCTTCTGTTGGTTACAGTTATTTCTTTAATTAACTAATCAGTTAGGAGCTCTGGTAGCATAGTGCCTAAGGCATTTGACTGCTAACCAGAAGGCTGGCACTTAGCAAACCCACCAGCCACTCCTCAGAAGGAAGGTGGGGCAATCTACTTCTGTAGTAGTACTGCCTGGATATCCAAGGAGGGGTCGCTATGATCCACTGGACAGCACATAACAACAACAAACAACAACTAATCAGTTGCTGTCCTGACTCATGGTGACCCTGTGTTTTCAGAACAGAACTGTGCTCCACAGGGTTTTCAACGGCTGATTTTAAAGAAGTAGAGGATCAGGCCTTTCTTTCAAGGCACCCCTGGGGTAAACTTGAACCTCCAACCTTCTGTTAGCAGCCGGACATGTTAATCGTCTGCATCACTCAGGGACCCCTTTCTTTCTTTAACACATTTATAATGATACCCTACTCTCCATCCTTGCTTGCCCCCACCTGCTCAATATACTTACATCCCTTTTAGTAGTTCCTCATATATACCTAGGAGTTCTGGTGGCATAGTCCTTAAAGCTTTTGGCTATTAACCAAAAGGTTGGCGGTTCAAACCACCAGCCTCTCCGCAGCAGAAAGATGAAGCAGTCTACTTATGTAAAGATTTACAGCCTTGGAAACTCTATAGGGTAATTCTACTCTCCCCTAGGGTCGCTATAAGTCAGAATCAACTTGATGGCAGTGGGTTTGGTTTGTTTTCGGTTTCATAGATACCTCTGCAACTCGGAGGAATAAGGTAATCATTTTCTTGTTCCATCAACTACAGATGTTATCTCTTTATTTCTTTCAACCTTCCACCATGGACTCTGACATTTTCAGACTGAAATATTTATAGCTATAATTAAGGCTTCCATGATGGTTTAGGCCTAAAAGCCGAAAATCAAAAGTACTTCCAGTACTGTGACCAGGTCAAAAGTGTTCCAGGCAAAGCCAGTGATCTCTAGAATCACACTCCCTTTCTTATGAAGCTGTTTCCTTTCTCTCTTGCACTATGTGCACTATTTAAATGTTTCCATTCTCTCCATCCAATCAGATATTTTCCAGTCACTTTTCTGTCTATACAAGTACATTTACATGTACTCATGAAATAATTTAAAAATATACACAAGGATCATATTATACACATTGTTAATATAACTTAGTTTTCTTTCTTCCCATTTAATACATCCATCAGCACTTACAGGTTTTCCTCTTTCTTTTAAATGGCTATGTAATATCTCATAGTACAGATATACTTTAATTTAAAAGTATTTCTTAATTAAGGCAGAAATACGTTCTCAGTTTTCACCAGTACTAAAAATGATGCTGTGAACATATATTTCCATGCAAATTTTTCTTTAGTTTCAGTTGGAATTGCTGGATCAAAGACTATATGCATTTTAGATTTTGGTACATTTTGCTAAATTGTCCTCCACAGGGCAAGGTATCTTACTGCCATCTAATGACATCAATAAAGCCACTCACAAACATGTTTCAAACATGGAGTTTATTGTACTGGAATTTAACCAGGGCACTGACATCACCAAGATGCATTTACAAATCTGTGATATTTTCTTTCCCAAATAACAAAGGACCATACATAAACAACTAAGCTTTTAATATCTGATGTGATAGTGGATTAGATAGAAAATGTTGCCTAGAAAGCTTGTGTAGTATGGTAAAAGACTTCTTTTCCCCAAATAAGAGGGAGAGTGGAGTATAGGCTGAACAGAAGGTAAAAGTCATTTACATGGCAAGCATCAGTACAGTAAAAAAATCAGTCTCTTTTACTTTATAATCCTGTGAATTTTAAAAATGTGAGAAACACTAAGCAATGTGGTTTTGCTATTCTTTTGACTGATACTCAGTCAAAAAGAAAACAGCACACCTGTTTCAAGTTCTAAGTGTATCAATCTTCAATGACCATCTTCAGCCCAATGATAAGAAGAGCTGGCTCATTCCAACAAGAGACATAAATTCTGAAAAGATGTCCAGTAGTGCCCCAGGGTATGAGACTAAATTACTACCTGTGCCCCCAGCAACGTCGAGCAGCCGGGTCCCAGGGAGCGGGTGCATCTTCCAGAGCAGCAAATCCTTCCAAACGCGATGGATACCAAGACTCATCATGTCATTCATCACATCATACTTCTTGGCCACACTTTCAAACACATGGTAAACTGACAAGGAAAAAACAACACAATTGTGCTGTTAACAGGTATGGTGCAGGGATTTACTTAAGATGGCTCTTCTAGCCTTGGTCTTTGTGACTCCCACCAGAGGACTGGGTGGGACTATGCAAATATGAGGTGCTTGTGGCCCACTAATGTGATTGGATAGCTTGGTAATAATATAAATAAGTTACATGGCACCCTTGTGGGGGTGGGAGCATGGAACCCTACCGTGGGGATTGGTCAGTGTTGCCATTCCACTAGGCTTAAAACAAGCCATCCCAGGTAGAAAAGGGGGACTCTCACTACCATCAAGATAGAAGCGCCAGGAGTAGGGCATGTCCTTTGGACCCGAGGTCTCCGTGCTGAAGAGATGGCACAGAGAGCGAGAGCCAAAGCAGGAGAACTAAGAGACCAGCACAAGACAGAGCAACAGGTATCCTGGCTCATGGGATGGTAATGCTGAATGCCTCCAGGCAGGAGTGGGGTTCTTCTCTGGGCATCTATTGGGCAAAGCTGGGAGAGCTTTGTAAAACTGCCCAAGCAAGGCAGAGGCTGAGGGCCAAAGAGATGCACGCCTGCGGCACGGCTAAGAAAAAGCTGTCCTGATTGAAGAACTGTCTCTTGACTTGTTTCTGATCCTGAACTGTAACCTGTTTCCTCCTTAATCAACCCCCAAATCTTGAGTATTGTCTATGACTTCTGTGTGGCCATTGCAACGAATCATCAAATCCAGCAGAGAAGGAGAGAATGTCGTGGGAGGGACAGCTGGTGTCAGAATTGGCAAAAAGGTTGGAGGATGGCGGCATGTCTGACCTTCTCTTGCAGGAATCAGCCTAGGGTTGTTGGTGTTGGTTCCTCCTTCTCCTTTGTGAAGTCAGAGGAGGTAAAAAGCCACTCCCACACCCTTTTTGTAGTAAAGGATGAAGGTAGACTAGTTCTACATGGAAAAGAAGTGCCTTTCTCCCTGAAATTGCCTGTCTTTGCCAGGTGAAGCTAAGCCATAATGCTCAAAGCCCAGATTCACACCTTAACATCAACTCTTTACAAAGAGGCTGAAAAGTACTTCATATAACAAATGACTCTTTTCTGCTGCCTTACTTATCTTCTACCTAGGTTACTACCTATTATAATGCTATGCACATACTTGATACTAGATAGGTGTTTCTGTTTCTTAAAGGATGAAGGGAAGAGGACTGAGATACATTTTCTAATGGTTTTTATGCACCAATAAGCATCATCATGATTAATGGAAAAAAAAACTGAAGTTGTCAAGATTTCATTCTACTTGGATTAGTGATAAATACCCATGGAAGCAGCAGACAAGAAATAAATGACGCATTACACTGGGTAAATCTGCTGCAAAAGACCTGTTTAGAGTTCTAAACAGCAAAGATGTCACTTTGATGAACAAGGTGCATCTGACCCAAGCCACAGTATTTTCAATTGCCTCATATGCCTGTGAAAGGTGGACAATAAAAAAAGACAGAAGAATTGATGCATTTGAATTGCATCGGCAAAGAATATTGAATATACTGCGGACTGCCAGCAGAATAAACAAATGTCTTAGAAGAAATTCAATCAGAATGCTCCTTAAAAGTGAGGATGACAATCGAGTTCAATTGACATAACATACTATACAAAAACATTGTTCCACCTCCTACTTTGGCAAGTAGTGACTGGGATCTTAAATGCTTGCAAGTGGCCATCTAGATGCAACAATGGGTCTCTCCTTTAGACCCATTAGTCCAAGGGACTGGTACACCATGCAATCCTCGGCCTA